TCTTTCCCTTCACAGTGATCCTGCTGGGTCCTCTGAATCATTCCAGTACCCATCAACAACTTTTGTATTTTTTTTTTTTTTAAAAAAAAACAATTTAAGGCTTCATGTAAATAATGGACACTGGTGGGTGCCATAAGGGATGGCTGCATTGCTTAGCCACATGAGGTCAGCAAAATGACAGGAGAAAGCTGGGGCTGACCTTTCCATTACTGTATGACTGGTCAGTGTAAGTGGGCAAGGTCATAGCTTAGAAAATTCGTTAAATAGTCTTTTTTTTTTTTTTTTTAGAGCACCCATGGTTTGCCACCTCTGAGGGCAACTGAATGGTTAAATCTTCTGCAAAAGAGGCCCCAAGCCGCTGAGCACAACACTGCTTTTACTAGTCTTGCAGTTCGCACTGTGCATAAGTAGGAGGCTGCTCTGCCTGAGCTCATGCCCAGTTAAATGGATCACCTCCCGTTGCAGATACAGCTGACTTCACTATATTAAAACCAAAATTGAATTATTTTTCAATACTAAAGGACAGATGGTTTCACAAAACCCAGACACCCCCCCTCTCCAAAACCTCCTGCACTAGTCACCATTAAAGCTTTAGCTTTGCCCTTTTATTTGCTTAATTTGGGCATGTCGGTTCAAATCTGATTGGGAGATAGTCATGTTTTCATCTGGAGCATTTTAAACTGGCCACAGTCTGGGTCAGATCTCTGAACTAATTCATCCAAGCCAGTATGGCCATATGAATTTTCTTGTAACTGATAATCTATTTCTATAATCTTAATTTGTGTAATCCTTTAAGTTATTTTTAGGTACTCTTTTGGGGAATCTCGACCTAGGACACAGATTGCTTAGGGATTTATTGTATTAAATATTACTTCTTTGTAATAAGGAAAACCTTTGCTTTACTTTAGTATGTTTATGATAATTTTTCTTCAGGGGCCATAGTAGAACAGGTTTCTCTGCTAGATGCTAAGGGTCAAAGAATCTCCTGTCATTGTCTTCCCACAGGCTGTTATGTGACAAGGACCTCACTATCTCCAGAGGTAGCTTATGCCCGTGTTATGTACCTCGCAGGGGGACAGCGGGGACAGGACGCCTGCAGATGCCCTGCCGGCCTCAGCAGTCCAGGGGTGACCCAGGGGTGAAGGTTGATGCGCTGTAGACCACGTGGAGAGGCAGCTGTATGTGCTCTGTGTTACAGCTGTAGGGAAGGAGTAGTAAGGCGGTATTCAGGGAGGATGCCGGTATAAGTGCTTTTAATTAGCTTCGCTGTTATTACTTAAGGTCTTAGCCTTCTGCCAGTATGCTTTTTCCAGTGGTCAGTGACTTGGTGCTGTGGAATAATGTGCGTATATGGACAGGGTAGGCAAAGGCCTTATGTGCTACTTAATTTCCATTTCCAACAGAGGACTTAAGCGATCCTTAGAGTCTTCAGCTGTAACATTATGCCATTTGTCAGCATGATTTTATACACACTATTAAACTTACCTTTTGGCCTATAGCTTTAAAGCATGTCTAGATCTGTTGAGTCTTTGCTTCTAGGGAGATAAGCTACAAAGGAAGGTAGGGCATTATTTTTTTATATATATTTTAAAACTATCAAGCACAGAGCATGTGACAGTTCTAACCTTGTTACTAGTGTGTAGATAATGTTTTTTTTCCCCAGGCTATTTATAGTTCTTTGCTGCATTTCTCTTACTTCATCTGTACCATTCAATATTTTTTGGCAGCACAGACTAATAATGGATTAGGCTGAGGTTCTTAGGCCAGATCCCAGCTGATACAAGGCATCAGGCTTCTCACTTACTGCTTTTGGAGGCTGCAGGTCTGATTTATACTGGCAGGGGACCTCTTCCATGTAACAATGTGTCTCAATGTATTCTTGATTTTTCCAACGCAGAGCTGAAAATGAATTGAAAAACTTTTATTTTCTGTTTTTGTTTTTTTTCCCTGCTAAGGAAACCAACCCACCTGTCCACTCCCATCCCCCTGAACTATCAGTGGTGAATTCTGTCTAGACACATTTAGAATGTAGGTCAAGTAAATGAATGATACTAATTGCTACGTTGGGAGGGATTTCCACTGAGTATTTGGGCTCTAGATTCTAGCTAATGCCAAGAGGCCATTGTACAAAACCCATGCAGCTAAGAACAGAAGTATATGGAGTATTTTTATACACTTGGTGACTAAAATATTTCTTTCTCAAGTCACTAATTAGAAAGGGAACATTTTGTATTCTGAAGGTGAAGTGGTAGGTCAGTGCTTTGTAACTACAAAAGTTATACTAGCCTATATAAGTAGTGTAGTGCTATGATGTGTTGCTGCTTTGCACTATAGTGTTAAGGATAAACGACTTTGGGGGTTGCAAAGGTGAGTGAACTGGCTTACATGTTAAGGTCTTTACAAATAAGATGTAAGGATTCAGTGAATGGACCAGGATATTGTAGCTTTCTCAAATAAATGACAATAAAATGACAGTGGGCATTCACAGGTATGTTGAGGGTGTGATCCCGGTTAGTACCACATTGCTTAGGTGATCAGCATCCATTGGAGACTCCAGGACTGAGAGAGAAATTGCCATTTGTTTTTGTGGTTTTCACGTCAGGCCTTTTTCTGCTTTACCAAGGTATATATATGAATTGACTTCCTATATAGAAAAGTGTGCATCTCACAGGAAACTCTCATTTATGATGCTGAAATGGAGTTTGGATATTCTTTATTACCAGTAGTCTCTTCTCTGCCCTAAAGCCCATCTCCATACTCTTCCTCCAAGAGTTAGAACTGAACAAGTGCGAACAAAACGGGAAAGCTGGATTTGTAGACCTCTCTTACAGAAAAGATGAAAGAAATGGCAGGTGAAGGGAATCCTGACATCACAGGGAAACCTTCTAGTTCTTGATTCCATAAATGAGCAATGAAAGTCTTTTTCATTAGTTCCTCCCTTGTTTTAGCTTTACTCTTCCCCTCGCTCTTTAATACTATGCAGTCCTGTTTATGCATATCTGACCTTTATGGTATATGCCATT